ACTGGAACCCTGTCCAGGTCTGTCAACTAGCCTGCTGAGATACTGATTTAGACCCATCTAGCTGCAGTTATAGACCTTCTCACTCAAAGCTATCCATTTTAGTACTTAGGCCGACAGTACGCTTCAGAATGCATGCCACACACAGACCATTTATCACGTAGTGACGCACCTCCAGCGGCCCCTGGAGCAGTGAGTCCGGAGGTGGCAGCTGGAAGGTGGAGGCATCGGGCAGCGTATCGCCTGGATGTTCTTCCAGGAACTGCAGAAAGGTCAGATTGAACCACGGGTGGTAAAAGAGCGGAAATGTACTTAACCGGGAGGCCTTTGGAAAACCGCCTCACAGACTCAATATGCTGTGGGTATTTTTAAAGGCCAGTGGAACTCAAGTTGACTTTGTGATTTTCAGAAGTTGAACTTTACAGTTTGTAATATTTTTTTTCTGTTTCATTTGCCTCTGTTTTCCATCTCACCTCGCAAACTCACTAACCCTGCCCCACACTAGTGATTCAATTGGAGGGGGGGGGGGGCGTTTCCCCCAACTGTGGTTCCACATTTGCACTTTTTCCATTTTCCAAGCTGCGCAGAAGACCTGGAGGGGGCAAACTGCTCTCTGACATCACGATTCCTGCATTTGAGTGGATGAATACATTGGTAATTAAATATATCCTAATTAAATTTCATAGGGTCCTCAGGGAAGTGAAAATCCATTTGGTCGCATCCAACCTTGTCTGAATTTTGCATGTGATGCTCACAGATTTCCAAAACAAAAACAGAAAAACGAAGACTGACATTTGGCTAGCTTTTCCCTAGCAGTGATCTGTTGTAAAGTTATGAAAAAATTACCCGTTTGCACAACAAAGATCGCAACAGAGCCATGTGACCTTGTGGGTTTACATGTGACTGTCGCATCGACGTACTATTCTATAAATTGTCTTTTAGCTAAAAAACGTCTTGTGTGCATTTGTGTTTCTCAGTGATAAATGTGTGAAGCCCGCGTAACTGGATTTTCTTTCCTAGCAAGATGAGGAACATATTGTTTTGCAGAGATAAATGTGTGTTGGCTTTGCGGTCCTTGTTGTGCCGCAATTTACAAAATGTCAAAAGCTATTATAAGGCAAATTAAACCCGAGACCTCGGCATATTGGAATCGCGGCTCCTGGTCCCCCGACCGTCACCGTGTTTGCCGTTTCATTCTGCGCGGCAGCCATCTGTTCCCTCCTATCACTGTACAGCCTCAGCTCAGCTCCGCGAGTGACATCAGCAGCTGCACGGATGCCCGTTAAACTGTTAAATGCATGCTACACGTAGGGTAAAGTAAATATGTTACTGGAATTGCAGTTCATAAATCGGCATAATATAGCACACATCGTGAATGTGTTTCGGGGGGCGTGGGCTGGGTGACAAACCAGCTTTTCTTCATAAAAACATACATGACAGAACCTTTAGTCTGAGTACCCAACAAAGGAATGATCTCATAGCAGTGAATGAGGAGATTTATTCGGCCTTACTAATTGAATTGCTGGGTTTAAAATAAGCCAGCTGGCCTGATGATCGGACAGGGGAGAGAATATGTAGTAAGTACTGAACTTCATAAAATTTTCCATAAACCTTTCCCCTGAAGTTTCAAGGAAGGGTATTTTATGGGTAGGAGATGTTCCCATTTGGCTTTCGGGGTGCACCCGTGTCAAACCAGCATGTTTTTTGAATGGCTGACTGCTTGCTGATGCGTCACCTTCGAAGGTGCCTGTCAATGGGAGTCAAAGACGTTCGGGAAAGCTTTAATTACGAGGTGTGAACACTTTCAGACAGACACATTCACCTGTAACGTTCGTACAGAGATTTCGCAGAAACGCTGCTTAGCGCTTCCTGTGTGTAGCCTGGTCTGTGTGTCTTTAAAATAAGCTTCAGCATTACAATTCCGAAGATGCCTCTCAATATTTAGAATATTCATTTTTACTGTTTACACATTTATCAAACTGTATCCATGTTCATATCCCTGCTTTATTAAAAGCTTTTATCTATGTTGTCATATAAATGTCCGTTTCTCATGGTACATTCTACTCCAGTTAATTTTTTTGTATGTTTGTTGTCAAATTATAGATGACATCTAAGGCTTTTATAAAATTCTTTTTAATATTTTGCAAAGCTTGGGAAACCAAGCTGAGTCACAGATGTCAAAGAGATACGTTATTGTTGTTTGCGAGATTGCAGAAAAAAATATCTCAATGCTCTAATCCCCCCCAAGCGCTTTCCGGATATATTACATTTTTGTTTACAACCGTCGCTGTCATACCCGGATTAATTTTTAAAAATGTTATCGTGTTAAATCCACCTCAGGGTCCACGGAAAAATCGAAGTAAATCCTGAGCCACATCCGGAGCCACCGTCACTGAGTGAATCCAAATAAGGGAGGGGGGGGGCACCGTGTGAATGAGGGTTGGTGGGTTTGGCAGGATTCTGCCCATCAATCAAACTGCATTAGTTGGGGGGGACCAGAGCTGCCTATATTTAATCACTATTAACAGACAAAGTCCTTTTAAATGTTTCTTAAATAAACCCCAGTATGTATCGCCTTAATTGCGATTCAGATACACGGGCCTGCCTGGGGGCTAGGAAGAACAACAACAACAACAACAACAACAACAACAACAACAACACAGGCTTGAATGCCAATTTCAGGAACTCTGCGGAACATTCCTGCAGTCTCACTGAAGGCTCTTGCTACCTCATCTATATTATTAAATATCTTGTATTATCTCTGTTTGCTCTCTTTAATTCCTGAAATTTGACTGGCTTGTTGTTGTTTCTTAAACAAAGCGAATCGTTAAAAATATAACTCCGCTGTATTCGCAAATCATGTTGAGTCGCAGATGACAGTGTGCCGGAGAACCAGAAGAGGTTCTGCTGTCTGCAAGGCGGCTCTCAATCCAATGAATCAACACTGGCCACCTTTGAGCAATAAAATATGCACCTGCGTGTCAAGGGAGGGCAGAGGGCTATCCTCAGCAATGGGAAAACTCCTGTGTGTTTCAATGATTTATACATATCTCATGTGAGAAATAGAGGCAGTCTGTCGGACAGCAGCAGCTTGGGGGACAGAGAGAGAGAGAGAGAAGATCCATTCCTGCTTAATTATTTAGACTCCATCTCCTCCTTTTCTATTTATTGTCCGATGCCCCATCTGAACATCGGAAAATGAAGGAGGGAAAGAATAAGGTGCCCCTGTCCTCATGTTCTGCTGACATACCCCCAAATTCCTCCTAATAGAAGGAAGGCAAAATGTTTATCATTATGGGATCCTGGTGATGGGATCACCTGAAATAGACATGAGTAACAGCGGAGTTTGGCCAATCTTGGCGTGATCGCTAAACTGCACCGGGATTTTCACAGCACTAGTTTAGAGATTTATTCCCGTCTTGTGTCCAGTGAGCTTTGCCAGCTGTGGCAGCCCCTCGAGAGCCCAGCCCCCGCAGCCTCCGAGGGCATCACACTTAGCCTTTGAGGGAACTGCTGCAAGAGTATCGAATAGTTCGCCCGTAAAGGCTGTTGCTAAGTTGGTGTCATTCTGGGCTTTGGGGGTGGGGGTTCCTAATGACTTATTGAGGCCAATCGTCATCAAATGCCCCACTGGGGGCCCCTTGATCCCCGTAGGCTGACGACACAGGGAGCACCAGTGTGCTTAAATATCCACCGCTTTCCATTAGCTGGGCATTATGGGATACATTTCCGGTTAAATACCTCAATGGAGGGCATGAAAGGATAACATGGAGAGCGGAGGTGGAGCTTTCTGCTTTTCAATTTGCATCAGCCAGAAAACGTGGGGGTAGGGGGGCGGTTGTCTAATGATGTCCCCTAAGATTTGTATTGTTTTTGTGTTTCTCTCATGTCCCAAAACTCATGTGGTTAATTGATGACACTGTTTGGAAAGAACATAACATCAGCTGGTCTTCCCAAATGTCACTGGGCAACTTGCCAGCAAAAGATAACATCCAGAAGGTTGTAAGGGCCAAACAATGCTCTGGGGGCCCGAGCAGACCTGGCAACCCCCAGCTAAAGAGATGCCTCTACCGGCTATACCTCTGTTTTTGATTTCGGTTGTTTTTCTGCAGAGTCATTTTCCCATTAACCATGGAACCACACGGTGTCTGGAGGATGGATGGCGATCTGGTCGACGTCCTCGATTCGAGGTCGATAAAGTAAAGATGGCGAAGATATTCTCTGGAGATGAGTCGTAGAGTGATTATCTAGTCATCTCTTTGTGTTTCATTGTCCAGTACAAGGTTTCCGCAAAGCCTGGAGCTTATCACCGAAAACACAGAGCAAAACACCTTCCCCTAAGTGATTAAATGAAAGATCATTTATCCCTGTTGGTGTGCAGCACCTCTCTAATATCTAATGCATCTAATACCCCCTCTAATACCTCATCTTCATTTGAGCCATGATTCAATTATGGAGATGGTGTTTGGATTGCGGTGATAAATTATGGGAAGAAGTCTGGCTCTGCCAAAAGGTAAAGATAGCTTTTTTTATGGTTTTTAGAAAACCTTTCTATTACAGTAGGGCATCATGGTCGTTCATGAAACAACTTGTTTCATCAATTCACTTAATACATCCATCCGCCCATCCATTTTCCGTTAATTAATAATAATTAATTAACTGATGGGGGTCCACGTTGACACGATCACAGAGGAGGTCCATGAATTGGAATCCCACCTTGGACACCTCTGTTGTACTTTTGAGTGGGACCAGAGTTGCACATAAGGACCACAAGGATTAATGAGTAGGGTTGTTGTAGTTGAATAGTGGATGAGTCTATAGCTATACCTTCCCGATACTGAAGGCACTAATCCGAAGAGGTGAGACCAACTCTGCCTACTTCATTGGGGCCCATAAAGCTCCAGCGAAGAGCAGGGTGCACCTTCCAGGGAGGGCTGCTAGTTTATGGGGATCCAGGCTGCCTGACAGGCTGAAGCTAACCCACCACGAAACCAACGCCTTTGGGGAGTCCGATCAACCATCTTTATTGAGTGCAATTTAGTACAGTGTTTCTCAGAAAGTTACAATTACAAACTGACATACTCATCACAATAAACAAATCTGAATTTTACAACGACACTCACACGCGCACACGCACACACACGCAAGCACAGAAGAAGTGTCCCGTCCCGTCGCTCGCTATGTACAATGCAGTGGGTGTTTCCGTCCTCATGCTGACTCACGCACTGCTGCGCCGGTCCCGGGTGGGCGTGGTCAAGGTGGCGGGTGTCAAAGTGTGGGAGTCAAAGTTAGCCTCGCGAGACAGTGATAGTCATTTTGAGTCCGTTCACTCTTGCAGCACTGTCTGGAGTCCGGGCTGAACAGTGAGAGTGCAGCCATTTCCCACAATTCTCTGCAACATGGGGGGATGGGGGAGAAATTGGTCAGTTCGTTAGTTTTTCTTTTTAACAAACGCAGATGTAAATGAAATAGACAATGTCAGTGACTGAACAGCAGGATCGTGTTTACTACTTAACCAAACTATTACATAGAATATTAATAAAATTCTTTCCACCTGCTGAGAAGGGTCGACGCAGGCCTTAACGGGGATTTTAACATCTCAGGCAGCAAAAGGAGGAGAGGAGGGACAGAACAGAGAAAGAAGATAGAGAGACGGGGGTTGGGGGCATGAGTGTGGAGAGGGTATGAGCATAATGAGAAGCGGGTCCTTCAGGGTGGGCGTCTTTCTGAGTCGCCTGACACAAAGGGAAGCCCTATAGCAGGCCCCAGCTCCTTCATCAGTGCCCTGCACTGTGAGGCAGTGACGGTGAAGCAGTACTTCACTGCACTGCGGCACATGGCTTTCCAAATAGGGAGCAGGAGAACTGGGGTGGAGGGGGCTATGTTAGCATCAGGACATCAGCAAGGCAGCATAGTTAAGCAATGATGAGACACAATACACCGAATAAGCCCTGCAGGATTGCTGGGCAACCTATCCCAGGAGGCTTGGGGCACACGCTGGGTGGGATGCCAGCTCGCACGAAAAAAGGGCAATTTAGATATGGGATCTGCCTTTGGACTGCAGGGGGGAACTGCAGCAGCTAAAAGAAAGCGGCACCCTGGCAGAGGTAGAGTGGGAATCAAACCCGCAGCCCTGTTGTGAAGCCGCACCTCTGCAAAGCCACAGAAAGACAGGTATTAAGACAAAACAGATATTAAAACAGGTAGCAAGTACCTAGGTGGCTATCCTAAGTATAGCTAGCGAGTTACGAAAAAACTGTGAAATTATCTCAGATCACAAGATCTTTTAACTTTGAAATTTTTCAAAATAATATATACAGTCATTCGCCGCATATTCATTCGCACATACGCAGTGGTCCCATGATGCAGCTGTATGGTAGCACTGCTAGTTGATGAGTGCGCCACCCAGCCGTCGTAACATCTTAACTCAACATATTACTCATGTGTTTGTGGTGATGCTAGTGTTAACACACCTACTGCATTGGCAGTCGTATAGGTGTGTAGGACATACAATTGTGTACAGTATATAATGTTTCATAAGGATAATAAATACTAGGTTATATGCTATACTGTACTTTTTATCGTTATTTTAGAGTGTACTATTTCTACTCACAAAAGAGGTTTACTGTAGCTTTGGTGTATAGTAGGCTATACCGTACAATATTTGCACAAAGACAAAATCACCTAACGAGACATTTCTCAAAATGTATCCCCTGTCATAACGTAACGCACGACTGTATATTTTTTTTTAGATCGTGTGTAATATTAATGCTGAAATGGGAGCCCCAGGAGCAGAATTATCCGGAGGGGGGTGGGTTGTAGATTTGGGGTGGGGGGGTGGGTTGTTTCTGTGCCTCAGGGGAGCCAATCACAGCCAGACTGAGTCGCAGTCGCCTCAATGGGAACCATGAAGTGCGGGTTCTGGCGTTTCTCGGGGAGTAATTAAAGCTGGCGCACGGGCGGCAAGCTCTGCCTCACGCTACCGCACAGACCAACTATCCTAACAGGAGAGGCAGCCCTCCCACTGACAGCCAACAACTCATTCCATGCCACCTCACGAGGCACTGTGGGCCGACTGCAATATGTCATTTCCTGCTACGGGATCAGGTTCGGCATCTGTCAAAGTGAAGTACCGTCTTAATATATGTGTGATCGAACGCTTTTCGTGGGATAACAGGAAGCAGCGTGGTCAGAAAATGAGAGCGGCAGCTGTGAGGCGGAGTGATGGATGTAGCGCGCCCGCTAACGTACAGAGGCCTGCTGTGGAAGGCAGTGTTAGCACTGATTGATGCACGTCGCCCGTGGATTTTGTTAATCTACATTCTCCTTGTATTTATAGTCCTTCCCACACACGAGTGACAGTAAAGGCCTGTCGAGAGTCATTCGGGCCTCTAAAAGGCCATTTGGATTATGACTGCTTTGATAATTGCCATGAACACAGCACTTTCAGTCATGCTAACGAAGCTACTTGTTAGCATTTGCAGTGTATCTCTTTTTTTAACCGTGGTTGTGATAGTTTCCTCTCGCCTGTGATAGTTGACAGTTTCCTCTCGCCTTAATTGATATATTTGTAATTCAACAGTACGGTACTAAGAAGCATCCTTTGTAAGAAATGACTGTCCCGATACAAACAATTTTATGACTTTGAAAACTGTAATTTCACTGTCACTGTTTTCAGAGGGAAAATGGAGAAATTACAGTGCATGGAGCAGACAGGGGGTGGGGGCATGTTAAAATCGAGCTTTTTAAGTGTGTGTAATTGCGGAAAAGTTTACGGTCTGTGGATGGAAGGAGCTGGAGCTCTCTGGTGGGGGTGGAGCGACCTCGGGGGGGTCACCAAAACAATAAAATAACAACATACTTTTCCAATTTCAGCTGCTTATTAGGCGAGTTACTGAAGTGAAACTGATGCCCTTTATCCATCACATTTATTTATTTATTTTTATTTTTTAACATAAAACTTCATTTTTCTCGGCCTGTAAACAGGACTAAATAGTTTTTTTTTCTGTTCACATTGAAGAACAGCAGCAGAGCCGTTACCCTGTACCTTTACTGCCACCCATGGGGGGGGGGGGGGGGGGGGAGAAAAGGGAAGACTTTAAGGGGTCCTGACACTAGGGGGAGCCCATGAGTGTGGATAATGGCAGCTTTGGTTTGGAGAAAGGAGAGGACCCATCCATCCATCCATCCATCCATCTACCATTACCAGTTATCTATTCAGGGTCATTGGCAGTCCAGAGCCTATCCTGGAGGCTACAGGGTACAACCCATGATGGAGCACCAACCCATCACAGGGCACACTGACACACCTATGGGCAATTTGATAACTCCAACTGACCCGAGCAAGTTTTTGGACTGGGGAAGGAAACCCAACGATGACACAGGGAGAACATGCAAACTACACACACATGGAACACTAGCAGAGACTCGAACCCAGGTCCCAGAAGTATGAGGCAACAGTGCTAACCACTGCATGGGTTCTCCCCCTTCAGTAGAATTTTTGCCTCAGTTTTTCCCCCAAACATGCTGAGTGGCACATTTGTCAGTAGGCATCAATTGACACTTCCCTCAAGCTCCAATCTACAGAAAAAAGGCCTCGTTACAGAAATGAGCCAAGCCAAGGGCCCTCATATTCACTTCGAGCTGACATCTCAGGCAAGGGTAATGTCCGAAAGGTCACCTGACAAACAGCGATAGACCACTGGCGAATAAAGAGCCAATCGTGCTTCACCATCACTCCTCACATCTTCCGAAGACTGAAACCATCGCTGTGAAACCATGTGCAATCGCAAGCACAAAATATCAGGTAAATTATGGGGGAAAAAAACCCAAAAGCACCCCCACCAGATCGCAGATAAGGCCTAAAGGCGGCTGCATCGATCGATATTTCCCGGGACCAAGAGGAGAGACGCGAAATTACTTCACGGGAGAAAGGAGTCATCGGTGTTAATTAGAAAAATTAATGGGTGCGATGACACGCTGTAAATGAATCAATGCTTCCAAATTGATAGCGGGGCCCTTTTTCTTACGGAAATCCGCCCGTGTCAGGCACATTCAGCCTCTCCGGATCATCAATGAGAAGTGACCTATGACCTTGCAGAGGTATATGAGGTGCTGTCAAAACAGAACGAAAACCACCAGAACAGTTTGTGCACGGATTTTCAGCCTGATTACATTTAGTTGTCTGAATTGAGGCCTTTCATCCAAGAAATTTATGGTCTTAACCCTTTTCTACAGCTCGACACTTATCTGGAGGAGTTTAAACCAAGGGCTCTGCTATGAAGAACTCCAGACTCGTACCGGAAGCTTTTCTGCGCACAAATCCCTGACGATTACGCCAGCAAGAGGTTTCAATATAGCGATCACAGCTATTGCTGGATGTAAAGACAAGCCTGCTTCATCTCCTGGAATCACACAGTTTTTTATGAATCATTTGCTGTCCATTGGTGATTTAGTGATGCCAGGTCACCTGATTACATGTTTCTGGACAGTGAGAAGAAACAGGAGCACTGGGAGGAAGGGAGAACATTCCAGATCTACACACAGCAGAGCTGGGAATCGAACCTGACAGCCTGGAGCTGTGAGGCTACTGCATTCATTGTAGGATTGTTTTGGAAGGAATGTTTTTACTATAATGGTTTGTCCATTACCAGGACTTCCCCCCCCCACACACATACACAATTGGGGGGGTGAAAATTTGCTGTGCCAGGAATGGGCACCTAAGGTGCCTATCAAAGGCTTCAAGTGTCCAGGGAGAGAGGGGTCCCCCTTGTTGGTAGATTTGTGCAGGGGGAGGGGCATTCAAACCTGTAGTTTTGATACCTGTCTACTACCTGCCTGCCGCAGCCATATCGTATCAGTTTGTGAAAAGCATTCCAGTCTGTTGGAGAGCTTACCCTCGGCCTTTAATAGTTTGTTAACGTACTTCCATTGATTTTCATTTAACACAGCGTGGTGGGG